GAAAGCAGATTAGTGACTGCAGAGGGCTGTGGGAATTGGAGGAAAATGTGAAGTAACTGCTAAAAAGGTATGGGTATTTTTTGTGGACTGTTAAAAATGTTCTTAAATTGATTGTGGTGATGGTTACACAATGTTGTGCATATAGTAAAACTATTGAACTGTGCATTTTTAAAAGGGCAGTTTTATGGTATTTTAATTCCATCTCAAAGAAGCTATTATCCCCCAAAATTAAATGAGCATAAAAACCTAAAAAACAAAAATAAACAGCAGCAGTAATAAGAATCTCAGATAGCCATGCCACTAGGCATACCTAGGTGGCTGCCTCTCACTCCACATAGCAGAAAAATAGGTGTTTGTTTGAAAAGAATAAAAACAGAAGGCCTTTGAACTAGGTAATACCAGGTCCAGTTAAGGGCAGAGTACCATACAAAGAGTAAAGAGGCCCTGGCCGGTATAGCTCAGCGATAAGAGCATAGCTCTTGGACCAAAGAGTCCTCGGTTTGATTCCTGCCAAGGGCACGTACTAGGTTACAGTTTGTCCCCTGCCCCGGTTGGGGTTGTGTGGGTGGGAACCAATCGATGTGTCTCTCTCGCATTGATGTTTCTCTCTCACTCTCACTCTCTCTCCCTCCCTCTCTCCCTCCAGCTCTATCTGAAGATAAATTTAAAAATGTCCTCAGGTGAGGATTAAAAAAGAAAAAAACAAAGAGACTACTTGAAATATTAATGTACCAAATTAGAGGCTCCCAGCCTCCCCCCAACACACACCCCCGTTGGTTACCAGAACACTGGCAGCCAGATCCTTATTCACCAGGTAGCAGACTGGGCAATCTGACAAGCCTGAGAGAAAAGACCTAAAGTTATAGGTATTGGTGATTCCTCTTAGGAAACAGCTTGAGACAAATCAGCCAACAGTGAGAACCATGTTCAAGAAACCTAAATACGCATAGGAAACTTCCAACGAATTTTTTAGTGTTTTATTAAGTGGAAAAACAAGTATCGCCAGACTTTGAGGAAAGTATCTAATATGGGTAATAGGAACAAATGAAGAAAAAGAAAAGCAATCTGAAGACAACAGAAACTACGCAGAGTGGAGAAAACTATTTTAAAGAGAAAAATCCATTATTATTATCCTCATATAGATATGTGACAAAACAAAAACCAAACATGAAACAGGCCCAACCAGTGTGGCTCAGTGGATTGAGCATCATCCAGGAACTGAGAGGTCCCAGTTCGATTCCCAGTCAGGGCACATGCTCAGGTTGCAGGCTCAATCCCCAGTAGGGGGCATGCAGGAGGCAGCTAATTGATGTTTCTCACATGGATGTTTCTATCTCTCTCTCTCTCTAAAAAAATCAGTAAAACATATTTAAAAACAAAACATGAAATAGAAACCAGGTTATACTGAAACATTAAGAGAACAAAAAAGGGTAAAGGCTCTTCAAAATTAAAAACAATGGCAGACAAGTGTCCATCAGTAGGTGAATGGATAAAAAAGCTGTGGTACATATACACAATGGAGTACTATGCAGCTGTAAGAAAGAAAGATCTCTTATCGTTTGAGATAACATGGAGGGACCTGGAGAGTATTATCCTAGGCGAAACAAGCCAAGCAGTGAAAGACAAATATCACATGATATCACTTATTTGTGAACTATAATGAACATAACAGTCTGAGGAATAGGGTAGACCCAAATACGTGGAAGTAGGGTACAGACTGACAATCCTCAGAATGGGGGGAGGGAAGAGATAAACCACAGAACTTAAATGCATGTAGGCATAATCGATGGACAACAAAGCTGGAGATGGGGTAGGGGGAATGGGGAGGAGGGTGTCAATGAGGAAAAAAGGAGAAATACTTGTAACAAAAATGAATAAATAAAATAAATAAAAATAAAAACAATGGCAGAAACATTTAGCATGTTTTCATTTAGAATATTTTCAAGGTTTATGCATGTTGTAGCATGTAATAATACTTCAGTTCTCTTTATTACCCAGTATTAATCCATTGTACAAACATACTACATAATATTAACTCACTTATCAGTTAATGAACTTTTGAGTACTGTTTCACTTTTTAGATATTATAAATAATGCTGCTATGTACATTCAAGTACACATTTTTATGTCAATTTTGATTTTTTTAAATGAAAGAAATTAGTCACACAAGACCACATATTGTGTGATTCCACTTATGTAAGATATCTAGAATAGGCAAATTTATAGAAACAGAAGTAGATTACTGGTACCTAGAACTTAGGGTGAATTGGGGAGGAAGAATAGGGGCAGGTGACTGCTAATTCATGTTGGGATTCTTTTGCTGGAGACAAAAATATTCTCAAATTAGATAGTAGTGATGATTTTGCAACTATGTGAATTTACAAAAAAAAAATACATTGTACATTGTACACTTTATTTTTTATTATTATTTTTGTTTTTAATCCTCCTCCAAGGATATTTTTCCATTTATTTTTACACAGATTGGAAGGGAAGGAGAGAGAGAGAGGGAGAGAGAGAAAGAAAAAAATATTGATGTGAGAAAGACACATCAACTGGTTGCCACCCACACGACTCTGAACAGGGCTGGGAATTGAACCCACAACCCAGGTACGTGCCCTTGACCTGGAATCGAACCCACAACCACAGGTTGACATTCTAATCACTGAGCCAAACCAGCCAGGGCAAATTGTACACTTTAAATAAATAAATTGCATGCTTTATAAATGATATCTCAATAAACCTATTTAAATTTTATTTTAAAGCCCAGCTGGCGTGGCTCAGTGGGTGAGCATCGACCCATGCACCAAGCTGTCACTGGTTTGATTCCCAGTCAGGACACATGCTCAGGTTGTGGGCCAAATCCCCAATGGTGGCCAACTGATGTTCTCTCTCATCAATGTTTCTGTCTCTCTCTCCTTCTCCCTTCCTATCTCTCTAAAAATCAATGAATAAAAAAAAAAAAAAAAAAACATAATGACAGAATCAAAACCCTCAATAGAAAGACTAGAAGATAAATTCTAGAAATTAGAGTAAGAAGACAAAGAGACAAAAATTGCAAAAAAAAAAAAGATAATTAGAGGACTAATCAGGATATCCAACGTCTGTACAACAGAAATTGCAGAAATAGAGAACTGAGAAAATTGTGTGGAGAGAATCAAAGAAAAAATATCCAAGTAGACTTGGATAAGAGGTTCTAAATTCAAAGGGATTACTACAAGACCAGCATAATGGAAGAAAACAGTGCTAACATCACGACATAGCACTGTAAAACTTCAGAAGCCTGAGAATAAAATAAGTTCCCACAAGCTTTTAAAGAGAGAACAAAAATTAAGTCAAATGCAAAGAAATAAAAATCACAATGGCATCAAATTTTGAAACAGCAACACTGGAGAATATTATGCTAAGTGAAATAAGCCGGTCGGAAAGACAAATACCATAGGATCTAACTTATATGTGGAATCTAATTAACAAAATAAACTGACGCACAAAACAGAAACAGAGGCATGGATATATGGAATAGACAAACAGAGTCAAGGGGGAGGAGGCTTGAGGAGTGGATGAAAGAAGGCGAAGAGATTAAGGAAAAAAATAACATACACATACACACAGACAACAGTGTGGTGTTAGCCAGCGGGAAAGGGGGAGGGGTGTGGGTGGAGGTGGGTAAAGGGTGGGTAATGGAGACTATGCTTTGGGTGGTGGGCACATGATGCAGGTGATGTGTTGTTGAGTTGCACACTTGAAACCTGTATGGTTTGTTGAACCAATGTCACCCCAATAAATTCAATATAAAAAATAAAAAAGCAGCAACACTGGAAGCTAGAAGACAATGGGGCATTTGCCTTTAAAATTCTGAGGAAAATTATTTCTATATAGAATGCTATACCCAGCCAATCTAGCAATGAAGTATTAGAGTATAACAAAGACATATGTAAATGTACAAGCTCTTAAAAATTGTACCTGCCACGCACACTTTCTCAGTTAAACTACTGAAGGATGTGTTCCACCAATCAAGTGAGTAATACAAGAAAGACAAAGACATGGCACCTAGGAAAAAGGAGACCCTATGCAAGAGGCAAGTGAACAGAATCCTCAAAATGATCTTCACCATCTCATGACAGGTCTAGTGAGTCTAGATGAGCAGTCTAGACTCCAAAAGAGATTTATTTAAGATGAAATTCAGTTTAAGTGTACTGATAAACTATTTATGTAACTCCCACACTGAGAGTGTGGGGCAGAATAAGGATAAATACCCAGAAAATTGAGTACAAATAACCACTGAAAAAAAAAAAAAAAAAAAGGAAGGAAAAACAACCATCTTATACCACATAATTGATGTAAGTATATAACTCACATGGTCTTAATAACTTAGCACCATATACCAATCTAACCAACATTATAATATAACTATATTGGATGATTTGGAGGAAAATGGGTGGTGGGGTGGAGTAGTGAATGAGAGCTAACTCTTCATCTTCCATGTTGGGAAGCAGCAATATAAGCATGATATTGATAAGCATGAAATGGAGATAAATACCAAAAGAAGTAGCTAAAAGGGCTAAAAATGGTTGCTTCTGGGGAACAGCATGAATGTGTGCATGTATATGTGTGTGCATGTCAGTGTGTTTTGGGGAGGGTAAAACAGTTCTTTAATCACTATATGTATATAGATACTTAAAGTACTTTAAGATTTTTTCCTTTATTGATTTTAGAAAGAGAGGAAGTGAGAGAGAAAGATAGATAGAAACATTATGAGAGAGAACATAGCTTGGCTGCCTCCTGCATACCCCCCACTGAGGATTGGGCCCACAACCTGGGCATGGGTCCTGACCGGGAATTGAACCGGCGACCTCCTGTGCATGGGTTGAACCTCAACTACTGAGCCACACCGGCCAGACTAAAGTAGTCTAATTTACTTAAAGTAGAAAATGATTTTATAAATAAGAAATATTCCAGTATCTTTCAGAAAGAACATATCCAAACCTTAATAATTACTATACCTGGAAAAAGGCACATTCTGAATACTTCTTCCAAATTGCCTCTGATCTGGGCTTATTCAGACAATACTTTTCATACATCTGAAAATCAGCTTTCTGTGATAAAAGCAAGTTCAAACATATTACCAATCTGTGAACATGTACTTTTTTTTATCAAGAAAGGCTGAGCAACAGTGAGTGTGGCTAAGCATTATAGGGAATATGACCTAAAGGGCTGCTGGTCAGGAATCCTCTTTGTAGTCCAAGAACAGCATGCCCATCAGACCAGGTACAGGGACACATAATTATCCAAATAATTTCATAGCTTCCACTTACCAAGTTTGAGAGTAGAGGGAGAAAAGCCTTCTCTGAATGATTTATAAATGCAGACTCATATTTTCACAACTGTGAGCTTATAGGGTACCAAGAAATACACTTTTTCTATGCTGTTAGTTACTCAGTTCCCTGGTGAGTGAACTGGTAGCTAACTTCCAAGGTCCTTGGTTTATCATCAGGACATCATCCTTGTGTCATAACCCACTAGACATCTGTTCCTTGCTATTCTCTTTCCCTGGAATCATCTTTACTTGACTCTTATCTAATGGGATGCTTCCTATTCACTCTTTAACATTCGTCTCACGAGTCATCCTTTCTATAAAGCCATCATTTATACCTCCGGTCTATGTAAGATACACCTCTTCTTGGCCTCTATAGGATCCTTTGTATATTTCTAACATAGCACAACTCACACTGTACACAATGGATTCTCTGTTTCTCTCTGTGAATAGTCTTGGGATTGTACCCACATAGCCTAGCACAGTGCTTGGAACATAGTAGGTTCTCAGTAAATGACTGTTGAATGAATGAACATATCAAAAGGCATTTATTAAACTACTACTTGTTGTGAAGGACTCTGCTATCATTATGAAGGTACAAAGATATATAGGAATTGGACCCTGTCTCAAAGAGTGAGAGTTACAAAGATATATAGAATATGGATCCTACCTCAAAGAGTTTTCCATGGAGCTAAATAAAGAACTCATGAATATATGTAAAGATGCATAGTAAATGTAAAATCCCCAGTGAGTAGCACAGCCTTTAAAGAGAGACTGCTGTTACTTAGGGAAGAATTTGGATACAGTTTAAACATGTTTCAAGTTAGGATATATTAAGAATGGTAATAACACAAATTTCTTTCTTAACATTATTGTTTTCCCCATCCATAAAAACTGTCTGAGATATCTAGTAGGAAGCTGTCAATAATCACTTTTATTCAATTGGCTCTCAAATTAAGAGAGAAGTGATATTTCAGGAAAAGGAAGAAGTAGATAAGCAGAGAATATTCTGAGAGGAAACTCTGATGGAGGAGAGTATGATTACAAATTTTGGAAAGTTAGCTGTACTAAGTACACTCTTGGGACATGGAGAAATGAGCCTTCCTGAATGAGCTCATAGAATAAAAAGAACATACAGCTCTCTGCTTTGCAAAGTTCCTATGATGCCCTGGGTCTGAAAGCTAGACTAAATTTTATTTTACTAAGACTTCACATGTATTAGAGGGGAATACCAAGGCATCTTTTAGGCTAAAAATTAACCAAGCCAAGAATGGTTGTACTAAAATGATTACCAACTCTCACATACATCTTCATAGCTTGGATGGTCCTTGAACTCCTGGGATCACCCAGGGGTCAGTGGTCACAAGCTGAACCACTGAAGCATTTGCTAGCACAGAACACAATAACCATTAGCATGCTCTCAATACCCTGTTGTACCAGTTTCTGTAACAAAACCTGATTTAGCATTAAATACTTGCTGGAGTGATGTGTCTCCTTTAAAATCATAAAGACATAAGAAAAAAAAAAATGGTGGTGGAGTGAATGGAAGCTACACAGACCATCTCCCAGGACCAAACTGGGATTACAACGAAAATAAAGACAAATCGTCAGGAAGGGGCAACCAAAAGGCAGCTTGGAGGACCACATAACCATAGACACTGACTCCATGCTGGTAGGCTTGCGAGGACGCGAGAGGGAGCCAGGAGCCCATGGTCTGCAGTGGCCTGGGCTGGGAACAGCGCCCTCGGCTGGAAGCTGCTGCCACCTCGGCTGGGTGCTATGCCCTTGGCTAGGTCCAGCGGCCTCGGCTGGAAGCTGCGGGTGCCTCGGGTGGGTGCTACGACCTCCTCTAGTGCCGCAGCCTTGGCCGCCCTTAGCTGGGAGCAGTGCCCTCGGGTTAAAGTGCCAGGCGGCTCCATGACGCAGAGCCTGGACAGAGGCTAAATTGGCAGCAGCCACACACCTTGGGCTCTGGCAAAGGGAGGACAGACTGGACTGGAACTGTGTATGGACACTTGGGATTTGGAGGGTGCTCAGAGCTTTTGCTGAGTGCAGCCACGGAGGACTGTGGTCATATTACTCCTTCCCAGGGCCCTGGGGAGAGGCAGCGTCCCCTCCCTCAGAGATGCAGCCCCACCTGCTGGACATGGAAATGCTAATTGAGGTCCATTAACAATCAGCATCTGCCCCACCCTCTGGAAATCCTCTTACACTAAGCACCTGAGGGAGTTTTTCAGTCAACTCAGAAACCAAGATTCCTCAGGTTACTGCTACTAATAGCCTCCAGGCAAAAAAGGTAGAGGATAACTACCATTTCCTGGGCTAGCAACTTTAACCAGAAAAGCTAAGACTTGACAGTGGTATTTAAAGCAGGTCCTCCCTGCCTCATCCAAACCCAGGAGAGGGAGCCACAAACAGCAGAACACCAACACCCACAGGAAATATTTGGCAGGCTCCAAAGCCCACCGTGATAGCCAAAATGGTGAAAAACAGAAAGAAAAGCCAAATGAAAGAACAAGGGACCTCTACCAAAGATGAGATAAATGAGGTGTAGATAAGCAAGTTAACAGAACTAGAATTTAGAGCCATGATCTTGAGGAAGCTCAACAGGATGTGTAAGGACATGCGCACCATGAGTAAAGACATAGAAATGTTGAAAATCAACATTGGAAATTAAAAAACCAACAAGAAGAAATGAAGGATGACATATCAGAAATGAAAAACACATTGGAAGTTCTAAAAAGCAGAGTAGAAGAAGATGAGGACAGGATCCGAGAATTAGAAGACAGGATAGAAAAAATCAACCAATCAGAAAACCAAAAGGAAAAAACAATTAAAAAACAGGAAGACAGCTTAAGAGAACTGTGGGACAACTGGAAATGTAATAATATTCGCATCATGTGAGTCCCCAAAGAACAAGAAAATGAGCAAGGGTTCGAGAATATATTCAAAGAAATAGAGACAGAAAATTTCCCTAATTTGGTGAAGGAAGAAGGCATTCAAGTTCAAGAAGCACAGAGAGCCCAAAGTCCGAAGAACCCAAACAGGCCCACACCAAGACACATAGTAATCAAACTGCCAAAAATTAAAGACAAAGACAGAATCCTAAAAGCAGCAAGAGATAAGCAACAGGTTACCTACAAAGAAAACCTCATAAGGCTCTCAGCTGACTTCTCACAAAAAGCACTACAGGCCAGAAGGGAATGGCATGAAGTAATCAAGGTCATGAAAAACAAGGATCTGAATCCAAAATTACTCTACCCGGCAAGGCTATCATTCAAACTAGAAGGTCAAATAAAGACCTTCCCACAGGACCTGGAAAGTATCATCCTAAGTGAAACAAGCCAAACAGAGAAAGACAAGTTTCATATGATCTCACTTATTTGTAGAATATAATGAACATAACAGTCTGAGGAAGGGGGTAGTCCCAGAGATGCGGAAGTGGGATACAGACTGACAATCCCCTAAATAGGGGGGTGGTGGGGAAGAGATAAACCAAAGAACTTATATGCATGTATGCATGAACAGTGGACATGGACAACAAACTGGGGAAGTGGCAGGGAGGGAGGGAGAGGGAGAAATCAGTGGGGGGAAAAGGAGAAACATCTGTAACAAAAATTAATTAATAAAAAAAAGAGCTTCCCAGACTAAAAAAAGGCTAAAAGAATACATTACCACCAAACCAGCACTGCAAGAAATATTAAAAGGACTGCTGTAATTAGCAGTAGAAATAAGAATAAAAAAAGAACCACACTAAACAAAAATGGCAATAAATAAGTACATATCAATAATCACCTTAAATGTAAATGGATTGAATGCTCCCATAAAAAGACACAGAGTAGCTGATTGGATACGAAGGCTTGACTCATCTATCTGTTGTTTACAAAAGACCCATATCCCAACAAAAGACTCACATAGATTGAAAGTGAAGGGATGGAAAAAAATCTTGCAAGCAAACAAAAAGGGGAAAAAAAGCGGGGGTAGGAAGACTCATATCTGTTACAATAGATTTCAAAATGAAGGCCATAACTAGAGACAAAGAAGGCCACTACATAATAATGAAAGGATCTATCCAACAGGAAGATATAACCTTGATAAACATATATGCACCCAACATAGGAGCACCAAAATATATTAAAAATATTCTGGAGGACTTCAAAGGAGAAATCGATAGCAATACAATATAGCAGGGGACTTCAACACCCCGCTGACATCACTGGATAGATCCTCTAGACAAAAAATTAGCAAGGAAACAGAGACTCTAAATGAAGCACTAGACCAAATGGATTTAATAGATATCTACAGAGAACTACACCCCAAAACTACAGAATTCACATTCTTCTCAAGTGGACATGGGAAATTCTCAAACACAGACCACATGTTAGGGCATAAACTAAGTCTCTACAAGTTCAAAAAGACTGAAATTATATCAAGCATCTTCTCAGATCACAATGGCATGAAACTAGAAATCAATTGCAAGAAGAACATACAAAGACATTTGAAGACATGGAAGCTAAATAGCATGTTATTAAACAATGACTGGGTTATGGAGGAAATCAAGGAAGAAACTAAAAACTTCCTGGAAACCAATGAAAATGAAGACACATCAACACAAAATCTATGGCATGCAGCGAAAGCAGTTCTGAGTGGGAAGTTCATAGTACTATGGGCCTACCTCAAAAAACAAGAAAAATCTCTACTAGACTATCTAACCTCACAACTTACAGAACTAGAGAGCAAACAAAAAGAAAACCCCAGAGCACGTAGTAGGAAGGAAATAATAAAGATCAGAGCAGAAATAAACAACATAGAGTCGAAAAAAAATTCAAAGGATCAATGAAACAAAGAGCTGGTGTTTAAAAAAGATAAACAAGATTGATGGACCCTTAGCTAGACTCACCAGGAAACAAAGAGAGAGAACCCAAATACACAAAATCAGAAATGAAAGAGGAGAAGTAACAACCGACACCACAGAAATACAAAGGATCGTTAATAGCTACTATGAACAACTATATAGCAACAAATTCGACATTCTAAGTGAAATGGACAAATTTCTAGAAACACACAGTCACCAAAAACTGGACCAGGAAGAGATAAAAAACTTGTATAGACCAATAACAACAAAAGAAATTGAAGATGTAATCAAGACTCTCCCAGCAAACAAAAGCCCAGGCCCGGAGGGCTTCACGGTGGAGTTTTACCAAACATTCAAAGAAGAACTAATACCCATTCTCCGCAAACTATTTCAAAAATTCAAGAAGAAGGAAGACTTCAAACTCGTTTTATAAAGCCAGCATAATTCTAATTCCAAAACTAGAAAAAGACACTACGAAGAAAGAAAACTACAGGCCAATATCCATGATGAACATAGCGCCAAAATCCTGAACAAAATACTAGCAAATCGGATCCAGCAATACACCATAAAAATTATCCACCATGATCAAGTGGGATTCATCCCAGGGATGCAAGGCTGGTACAATATTCACAAATCAATATATGTGATACACCACATAAATAAAATAAAGAATAAAAACCACAAGATCATATCAATAGATGCCGGAAAAGCCTTCAACAAAATCCAGGATACATTTCTGATAAAAACACTCAGCAATGTGGAAATAGACGGATTATATCGCGACATAATAAAAGCCATATATGAAAGACCTACAGGTAACATCATACTCAATGGGCAAAAACTAAAAGCATTTTCCTTAAAAAACAGGAACAATGCAAGGATGCCCACTTTCGCCACTCTTACTGGAAGTCTTAGCCTCAGGAATCAGACAGGAAGAAAAAATAAAAGGAATCCAAATTGGAAAGGAGGAAGTGAAACTGTCATTATTTGCAGATGACATGATACTATACGTAGAAAACCCCAAGACTCCATCAAAAATTGACTAGACTTAATAAATGAATTTGGCAAAGTAGCAGGATACAAAATTAACGTCAAGAAATCGATGGCATTCTTATACACCAATGATGAACTCACAGAAAGAGAAACTAAGAAAACAATCCCATTTACCATTGCAGCAAAAAAATTAAGATATCTAGGAATAATCTTAACCAAAGAAATACAGGACCTATTCGCAGAAAACTACAGGTCATTGAAAAAAGAAATAGAGGAAGATATAAAAAAGTGGAAGCACATACCTTGTTCATGGACTGGAAGAATTAACATCATTAAAATGTCCATATCATCCAATGAAATCTATAGATTCATTGCAATTCCCATCAAAATACCAATGGCATACTTCACAGAATTAGAACAAGTACTTCAAACGTTCACATGGAGCCAAAAATGACCTCAAATAGCCACAGCAATCTTGAAAAAAAAAGAACAAAGTTGGAGGGATCACATTACCAGATTTCAGGTTATACTACAAAGCCACAGTAATCAAAACAGCCTGGTATTGGCACAAGAACAGGCATATAGACCAGTGGAACAGAGCAGAGAACCCAGAAATAAACCCAAGGCAATATGTTCAATTAATATTTGACAAAGGTGGCAAGAGCATACAGTGGAGTAAGGACAGCCTCTTTAATAAATGGTGCTGGAAAATTGGACAGGTACATGCAGAAAAATGAAACTAGACCATCAAGTTATACCCTACACAAGACTTAACTCAAAATGGATAAAAGACTTAAATGTGACTCATGAATCCATAAAAATCCTAGAAGAAAATGTAGGCAACAAAATTTCAAACATCATACGCTGCAGAATTTTCACTGATACATCACCTAAGGCAATAGAAATAAAGGAGAAAATGAACACATGGGACTACATCAAACTCAAAAACTTCTGCACAGCAAAAGATACAATCATCAAAACGGAAAGGCTATCCACTGTATGGGACAGCATCATTGCCAATGATGTATCAGATAAGGGGTCAATTTCCAATATATATAGAGTGCTCATACAACTCAACAAAAGGAAGACAAAGAATCCAATTAAAAAATGGGCAGAGGAACTAAATAGACATCTCTCCAAACAGGACACACAAATGGCTAAGAGACATATGAAGCAATGCTCAACATCACTAATCATCAGAGAGATGCAAATTAAAACAACAATGAGGTATCACCTCACACCTGTCAGAATGACCGCCATCAACAAATCATCAAACAATAAGTGTTGGCGAGGGTGTGGAGAAAAGGGGACTCTAGTACACGGCTGGTGGGAATGCAGACTGGTGCAGCCACTATGAAAAGCAATATGGTGTTACCTCAAAAAATTAAAAATTGAAAGAAGGAAAAATGGCGGCGGAGTGAACGGAGCTACACAGACCGTCTCCCAGAACCAAACTGGAATTACAACTATAACACAGACAAATCGACGGGAAAAACCAACAGAAAAGCAGCTTGCGAGGACCATACAACGAGGGACACCGACTCCATCCCGGTAGGCTTGCGAAGGCGCGAGACGGGGCTGGGAGCCCACGGTCGGCAGCTCGGCAGCGGCCTCAGCTGTAAGCGGCGCCCGCGGGTTACACTCCCAGGCGGCCCCACAGCGCAGCCGGGACAGAGGCTGAAACAGCCACAGCCACTCACCTTGGGCTCCGGCGGAGGGAGGGCAGACTGGACTGGAACTGTGTCGGGACACTCGGGGTTTGGAGGGCGCTCAGAGCTTTGGCTGAGTGCAGCCACTCAGGACGGTAGCCACATTGCTCCTTCCCAGGGCTCTGGGGAGAGGCAGCAGCCCCTCCCTCGGAGATCCAACCCCACCCTGTGGGCCATTGAAGTGTTAATTGAGGCTCACTAACGACCAGCATCTGCCCCACCCTCGTGAAAGCCCCTTGGCTGAGCACCAGAGGGAGTTTTTCAATCAACTGACAACCCAAAACTCATCAATTAACCTAGATTGCTAGCCTCCAGGCAAAAAGCTAGAGGATAACAGTACATTTCCTGGGCTGGCAACTTTAACCAGGAAAGTAAGACTTGACAGTGGTGTTCAACGCGGGTCCTCCCTTGCTCATCTAAACACAGGAGAGGGAGCCACAAACAGCAGGACACCAACACCCACCGGGAAAACTTGACAGGCTCAAAAGCCCACAGCGATAGCCAAAATGGTGAAACACAGAAACAGAAGCCAAATGAAAGAGCAAGACACCTCCACCGAAGATGAGATCAATGTGGAGCAATTAGGCATGTTAACAGAGCTAGAATTCAGAGCCATGATCTTGAGGAAGCTGAACAGCATGAGTAAGGACATAGAGACACTGAAAATAAGCCAAATGGAAATTAAAAACCAACAAGAAGAGATAAAAAATGACATATCCGAAATGAAAAACACATTGGAAGGTTTAAAAAGTAGAGTAGGGGATTCACCGGATCAGTGAATTAGAAGACAGGGTAGAAAAAATCAACCAATCAGAAAAACAAAAGGAAAAACCTATTAAAAAACAGGAAGACAGCTTAAGAGAACTATGGGACAACTGGAAACGTAATAATATTCGCATCATAGGAGTCCCCGAAGAAGAAGAAAAGGAGCAAGGGATAGAGAATATATTCAAAAAAATAGTGAGAGAAAACTTCCCTAATTTGGTGAAGGAAGAAGGCATTCAAGTTCAAGAAGCACAGAGAGTCCCAAGTAAGAAGAACCCAAACAGGCCCACACCAAGACACATAGTAATTAAAATGCCACAAATTAAAGACAAAGAGAGAATCCTAAAAGCAGCAAGAGATAAGCAACAGGTTACCTACAAAGGGAACCCCATAAGGCTTTCAGCTGACTTCTCACAAGAAACACTACAGGCCAGAAGAGAATGGCATGAAGTAATCAAAGTCATGAAAAACAAGAATCTGAATCCAAGACTACTCTACCCAGCAAGGCTATCATTCAAAATAGAAGATCAAATAAAGAGCTTCCCAGACAAAAAAAAGCTAAGGGAATACATTAGCACCAAACCAGCACTGCAAGAAATGCTAAAAGGACTGCTGTAAATAGCAGTAGAAATGGGAAGAAAAATAGAACCACACTAAACAAAAATGGCAATAAATAAGTACATATCAATAATCACCTTAAACGTAAATGGATTGAATGCTCCCATAAAGAGACACAGAGTAGCTGATTGGATAAGAAAGCATGACTCATCTATATGTTGTTTACAAGAGACCCACCTCTCAACAAAAGACTCACATAGGTTGAAAGTGAAGGGATGGAAAAAAATTTTCCAAGCAAATGGAAAGCAAAAAAAAGCTGGGGTAGCAATTCTCATATCTGATAAAATAGATTTCAAAATGAAGACCATAACTAGAGACAAAGACGGCCACTACATAATATTGAAAGGATCTATCCAACAGGAAGATATAACCTTGATAAACATATATGCACCCAATATAGGAGCACCAAAATATATTAAAAATCTTCTGGAGGACTTCCAAGGAGAAATCGACAACAATACAATCATAGCAGGGGACTTCAACACCCCGTTGACAGCACTGGATAGATCCTCTAGGCAAAAAATTAGCAAGGAAACAGAGACTCTAAATGAAGCACTAGACCAAATGGATTTAATAGATATCTACAGAGAATTACACCCCAAAACTACAGAATACACATTCTTCTCAAGTGCACATGGGACATTCTCAAAGATAGACCACATGATAGGACACAAACTAAATCTCTACAAGTTCAAGAAGATTGAAATCATATCAAGCATCTTCTCAGATCACAATGGCATGAAACTAGAAATCAATTGCACAAAGAACATGCAAAGACATTTCAACACATGGAGGCTAAATAGCATGTTATTAAACAATGAATGGGTCACCGAGGAGATCAAGGAAGAAATTAAAAACTTCCTGGAAACCAATGAAAATGAACACACAACAACACAAAATCTATGGGATGCAGCGAAAGCAGTTCTGAGAGGGAAGTTCATAGCACTACAGGCCTACCTCAAAAAACAAGAAAAATTTCTAATTGACTGTCTAACCTCACAACTTAAAGAATTAGAAAGCAAACAAAAAGATAACACCAGAGCAAGTAGAAGGAAGGAAATAGTAAAGATCAGAGCAGAAATAAATGACATAGAGACCAAAAAAACAATTCAAAGGATCAATGAAACAAAGAGCTGGTTTTTCGAAAAGATAAACAAGATAGATGGACCCTTAGCTAGACTCACCAAGAAACAAAGAGAGAGAACCCAAATACACAAAATCAGAAATGAAAGAGGAGAAGTAACAACCAACACCACGGAAATACAAAAGATCGTTAACAACTACTATGAACAACTATATGGCAACAAATTCGACAATCTCAGCGAAATGGACAAATTTCTAGAAACACACAGTCTCCCAAAACTATTCCCGGAAGAGATAGAAAACTTGAACAGACCAATAACAACTAAGGAAATTGAAGAGGTAATCAAGACTCTCCCAGCAAACAAAAGCCCAGGCCCAGATGGTTTCACGGGGGAGTTTTACCGAACATTCAAAAAAGAACTAACACCCATTCTCCTCAAACTATTTCAAAAAATTCAAGAAGAAGGAAGACTTCCAAACACGTTCTATGAGGCCAGCATAATTCTAATTCCAAAACCAGAAAAAGACACTACGAAGAAAGAAAACTACAGGCCAATATCCCTGATGAACATAGACGCCAAAATCCTGAACAAAATACTAGCAAATCGGATCCAGAAATACATCAAAAAAATTATTCACCATGACCAAGTGGGATTCATTCCAGGGATGCAAGGCTGGTACAATATTCGCAAATCAATAAACGTGATACACCACATAAACAAAATGAAGAATAAAAACCACATGATCATATCAATAGATGCTGAAAAAGCATTCGACAAAATCCAGCATCCATTTCTGATAAAAACGATCAGCAATGTAGGAATAGAGGGATCATATCTCAACATAATAAAGGCCATATATGAAAGACCTACAGCCAACATCATACTCAATGGACAGAAACTAAAGACATTTCCATTAAGAACAGGAACAAGACAGGGATGTCCACTTTCGCCACTCTTATTTAACATTGTACTGGAAGTCTTAGCCACAGCAATCAGACATGAAGAAAAAATAAAAGGGATCCAAATTGGAAAGGAGGAAGTGAAACTGTCATTATTTGCAGATGACATGATATTGTACATAGAAAACCCTAAAGACTCCATCAAAAATCTATTAGACTTAATAATTGAATTTGGCAAAGTAGCAGGATACAAAATTAACGTCAAGAAATCGACGGCATTCTTGTACATCAATGATGAACTCACAGAAAGAGAAACTGAAAAAACAATCCCATTTACCATCGCTCCAAAAAAATTACGATACCTAGGAATAAACTTAACCAAAGAAGTAAAAGACCTATTTGCAGAAAACTACAGGTCATTGAAAAAAGAAATAGAGGAAGATATAAAAAAGTGGAAGCACATACCCTGTTCATGGATTGGAAGAATTAACATAATTAAAATGTCCATACTACCCAAAGCAATCTATAGATTCAATGCAATCCCCATCAAAATACCAACGACATATTTCATAGAACTAGAACAAATACTTCAAAAGTTCATATGGAACCAAAAAAGACCCCGAATAGCCACAGCAATCTTGAAAAAGAAGAACAAAGTTGGAGGAATCACAATACCAGATATCAGGTTATACTACAAAGCGACTGTAACCAAAACAGCCTGGTACTGGCACAAGAACAGGCATATAGACCAGTGGAACAGAACTGAAAACCCAGAAATGGACCCAAGGCAATACGCTCAATTAATATTTGACAAAGGTGGCAAGAGCATACAGTGGAGTAAAGACAGCGTCTTTAATAAATGGTGTTGGGAAAACTGGACAGCTACATGCAAAAAATGAAACTAGACCATCAACTTACACCATACACAAAAATAAACTCGAAATGGATAAAAGACTTAAATGTGACCCGTGAATCCATAAAAATTCTAGAAGAAACTGTAGGCAACAAAATTTCGGACATCATACGGAGCAGAATTTTCACTGATACATCACCTAAGGCAACAGAAATAAAGGAGAAAATGAACACATGGGACTACATCAAACTAAAAAGCTTCTGCACAGCAAAAGAAACAATCATCAAAATGGAAAGGCAACCCACTGTATGGGAGAACATCATTGCCAATGATGTATCAGATAAGGGGTTAATTTCCAGTATATACAGAGTGCTCATACAACTCCACAAAAGGAAGACAAAGAACCCAATTAAAAAATGGGCAGAGGAGCTGAATAGACACCTCTCCAAACAGGACATACAAATGGCCAAGAGACACATGAAGAAATGCTCAACATCACTAATCATCAGAGAGATGCAAATTAAAACAACTATGAGGTATCACCTCACACCTGTCAGAATGGCCGCCATCAACAAATCATCAAACAACAAGTGTTGGCGAGGATGTGGAGAAAAGGGGACTCTAATACACTGCTGGTGGGAATGCAGACTGGTGCAGCCGCTATGGAAAACAATATGGTGCTACCTCAAAAAATTAAAAATTGAACTTCCATTCGACCCAGTGATCCCACTGCTGGGAATATACCCTAAGAAGCCTGAAACACCAATCAGGAAGAATATATGTACCCCCATGTTCATAGCAGCACTATTTACAATAGCTAAGATCTGGAAACAGCCCAAGTGTCCACCAGTAGACGAATGGATCAAAAAGCTGTGGTACATATACACAATGGAATACTATGCAGCGGTAAGAAAGAAAGATCTCTTATCCTTTGAGACGACATGGAGGGACCTGGAAAGTATTATCCTAAGTGAAAGAAGCCAAGCAGAAAAAGACAAATACCACATGATCTCACTTATATACGGAATATAATGAACATAACAGTCTGAGGAATACAGTAGACCCAGACACATGGAAGTAGGGCACAGACTGACATCCCTCAGAAGAGGGGATGGGGGGTGGGGGGTGGGAAGAGATAAACCACAGAACTTATATGCATGTATGCATGACCAATGGACATGGACAACTAAGCCGGGGACAGGGTGGAGGGGGGGTGGGGTGGGGGGTGCCAATGGGGTAAAAAGGTAAAATATCTGTAACAAAAAAATAAATAAATAAATAAAATTTAAAAAAAAAAAAAAAAAATTAAAAATTGAACTTCCATTTGACCCAGTGATCCCACTTCTAGAATATACCATAAGAAGCCTAAAATACCAATCAGAAAGAATATATGTACCCCCATGTTTTTAGCAGCACTATTTACAATAGCTAAGATCTGAAAACAGCCCAAGCGTCCATCAGTAGACGAATGGATAAAAAAGCAGTGGTGCATATACACAATGGAGTACTACGCAGCTGTAAGAAAGAAAGATCTCTTATCTATTGTGACTACATGGAGGGACCTGGAAAGTATCATCCTAAGCGAAACAAGCCAAACAGAGAAAGACAAGTATCATATGATCTCATTTATTTGTGGAATATAATGAACATAACAGTCTGAGTAATGGGGTAGTCTCAGAGACATGGAAGTAGGGTACAGACTGACAATCCCCAGAAGAGGGGGTGGTGGGGGAGAAATAAAGCACAGAACTTATATACATGTATGCATGAACAATGGACATGGACAACAAAGCTGAAGACAGAGCAGGGAGGGAGAGGAAGGGTGGAATCAGCGGGGGGGGGGGGCGAAACATCTGTAACAAAAATTAATTAATAAAAAAATAAATAAACAAGTAAATAAATAAAATCATAAAGACATAAAAAAACAAAACCTACCTGGCCTCTAAATCTGTTCATATAAAATAAGCTGTTATTTTGGTGGTCCATATTTATATATTTTTAAATAATAATTAAACTAATCCTTTCCAGGAAACAAAGTCCCACTCTTTCTGGAGCATCAATGCAATTATCCAGACTTACTTTGAAAAGGCTATGAAAATTTCAGAGAGTCCTGGCCAGTTGGCTCAGTGGTTAGAGCATCGGCCTGTGGTCCAGAGAGACCTGGGTTCTGTTCTCGCTAAGGGCCCGTACCTCGGTTTCAGTATTTCCATGGCCCTGGTTGGGTCGTGCTGGTGGCAACCACTCGATGTCTCCCTTTCACATCGATGCTTCTCTCTCTCTCTCTCTCTCTCTCCCTCCTACTCTATCTGAACAAAAAATGGAAAAATGTCCTCGGGTGAGGATAAAAAAAAAATTTTCAGAGAAAAAATAATATATTTTTATGTGAAAGAAATTGATCAATAATATTTTTTAATTTAATTAATTAATTTAATTTTGTTGCAGATGTTTCTCCTTTTCCCCCACTAGCTCCCCCCTCCCCTCCCTCCCCACCCTGTCCCCAACTTTGCTGTCCATGTCCATTGTTCATACATCCATGCATACACGTTCGGTGAAATTATATATGTACCCCCATGTTTGTAGCAGCACTATTTACAATAGCTAAGATCTGGAAACAGCCCAAATGTCCATCAGTAGATGAATTGATAAAAAAAAGCTGTGGTACATATACACAATGGAGTACTATGCAGATGTAAGAAAGAAAGATCTCTTATCCTTTGAGATGACATGGAGGGACCTGGCAAGTGTCATCCTAAGTGAAAAAAGCCAAACAGAGAAAGACAAGTATCAAATAATATTTTAAATAATATAATAAAAAAATTAAATCCAGTAATTACATACTTGCTATAGAATTCATATATTTCTGCCATATTTTCAAAGAGAACATCCTTTTTATTTCTCAGGAGAGGTGGCATAAGATCAAACATTTCTGGATTATCCATCTCCGCTCTATAGCCCTACTCAAAATAAATACATTCATTCATTTAAACAATATTCACATTAATACTTGATTGGGCCACCAAAGGTGTAGGTACAACTAAGTGTATAGGGGATCAGTGGGTGAAGCTGTTTGTAATTTTAACATTCAAATCTTCTACTTCCCAATATTATCCTTTATCATTATTATTATTATTTTAAAAGTAGGAGAAGGAAGTGAAGGTTTTCCACTCAAAAGGTAGAATAAAGTGATAGCTCTTTGGCCTTCAGGGTGGTTTATAGTGTAGGAAACAAAATAGAAACCAAATATGAGGAATTATATTACAGGTCATTAACTTCTACTTCAGCTAGCAATAAGTGCTTAGGTTACTTCAGATTAAATTCATACTCTGACATTTGTATGAAATCAATGTTTTTCTCCCATTTTTAGTTCTTTACATCACAATCTCTAGCACCATGGGAATAAATAGAACAATCTGCTGTATCCCTAAGAGAACAGATTCTCTCCTCTATAGTAAATTCTAAATCCACAATTCTCACTCCTGAGGGAGAACCTGAATACACACATCTGACAAACACACAGCCTCAAACTGTACAGAAATACCCACTGCTGCCATGCGACTATCAAGGAAACATACAGGAAGAGAAGACTGCTCTAATCACTTCCTTACAGGTGTAGCAGGGAAGCATTCGGGGAAAAGATGGGAAAATACAATTTGAGTCCCTTACCAACAAAACAGTAAATAGTTCGCGAACGTAAACCTTCTCAGTCTGTATCAGCTCATTTAGAACATGGCTAAAGTGAAAAGACCATATTTATTAATTATTTTATTGCTTTAGAATTATATAGTAATATTTCAGTTATTATCATTATAAATTGTCTAATGTAATAATTGTTAATGCATAAGAACCACCAATAGTTTTGGTTTTATTATAAAAATATAAAATTAATTACATGATCTAGAATAAGTACCAACAACAAGATTCTAAAATATATTTAAAAGAAAAGGGAGTGGGGCTCGGGAGTTATTTTTAAATGATGAAATAAATTTCTAACTTATTAAGTTTAAGAATAAATTTACTAAACCCTCACAAACTCTATTTCCAAAAATCTGGGAAAGACTTTTGGGGGGACAACACAGTTTCTGAGCTATAGTTCCCTCTCTCTACCTTTCTCTCTCTAAAAAAGAAATATTAGCATTTTAGTCATAATTTTTCCCTTTTCCTAGAAATATTCTATACTTTTCCAAGACATTAAGTGTATTTATTATACTGATTTTCCCAAGTATAAATCATACTTAAGTTTCTGTAGTAATTTTGATCAGTGTCTCTCTAAAATAAAATATATTTTCCATTCAATGTGATTTCCAATTCACATCATATTTAAAATTTATTTCTTTATTCCCTACTATAATTAACTCTTTTAATTTAACTTCTGGGTTTAGCCTCTTTTTTCATTTTTATTAAGCATTAACCTTTAACAATCTTTAAAATATATATCCACAGGGTGGGACAAAGGTAGGTTTATAGCTGTTTGTATGGAAAATAATACAATTTATAAAAAAAAAAAAAAAAAAAAAAAAACAAGAATAAACTCTTTGAGTACTCACAACTATCGACCTACTTTTGCCCCACCTTGTATATGTCTACATACATCTTGCACTAAAATACTGGTTACTTACAACTCTATGATATAAAATTTAAAAGGTGAATATACTTATCTTTGGATTATTAACATAATACTATTAAAGTGAATGAAACAGTGATTATTAACATCTATAAAATAACATTGTATATATACATAATCCTTTGTAGTTTTTGGAACACTGTCCCATTCATTCTGACCTCTTACAAAACAGGAGATTAAGATTCTGAAAAAGTTTAGTTAATTTTCAAGTCACATAAACAGAGCATAGGTTGGCCAGGTCTAAATCCAAGACTTCTGACATTTCTAGTGTTTTCATCACACCCCATATAACTCCATACTGTGTACTCAAAATCCCAAGCATGTTCGCCTTGGACACTGAATCAGTGACTCCTATTACTAGATGTGTATATGAGTGTCTGTTAATAAATTAAAAATACTTCTTTAAAATATCCAAGCTATTGTTACTGTCCAAACTGGAGGATTGATCAGAACTTCTCTTCTCTAGACAGTCATGTACCACTTCAATCTGAAATGATGAAAATAAGTTAAATTAGCATCTAAGTAGGTATGGTTCTTCTTCAAGAAAATCTAGCTCAAAATAAGTTTTCTCTAGGTCCTAACTATGTATATAAATTGAAAAATAACACTATAATTATTATTCTTTCAGATATAATTATGATACATAGTAGTAAAAAAATATTTGAGTTGCCTAAGAGGATAGATTTAAGATACTAATTAGAATTTATTTTATATATTAATTAATGTCTCATTTATTTGGCACTTTGGGGAAATGAGGTTAATTCAGAAAAAGCTTATTGTGCAAATAACTGAAGTTTATTCTCTGAAGAACCAAAATGGTTTTTCTACTGTAATGCTTTTTTAAAATAATTTTTACTAATTTTTTTTTTTTTTTTTAGAAAGGAAAGAAGGGAGAGGGAGAGAGAGAAACATCAATGTGAGAACCAGCAATCCTCCACTGCATGAGACAATGACCAAATAACTGAGCCACACTGGTCAGCGTTCAACCTTAATGAATTTTGATGGAAATGTTTCTAGGAAATATTACATAAATACTTGAATGATCTAATCAAGGATGCAGAACATCATTGATCCTTTTCCTAATCATTCAGTGGCATCAATCATGAACGTGGATGATATGATAAAATCTAATGATGCACTCCAGGGCTAGTAAGATGTGCAGAAATGTCTTGTGTTTCTTAAAATGTCTGTAACCTATTCATCTGTCTCTGTTCTCTGTCACATGTCAGTTGTTGCTACAAGTGACCTCCCTGATCCTAAACTGCTACCTTATTTGCAGACTCTATGGGACTTGGACTGACTTAACGAGTCAAATCCATGAGATTCATCACAAAATGAGGTTATTTGCTCTTCAGAAGCATCTGAAGTATATTCCAGGGATCCTGGCTGTATTGGACAGCTGAGATGAGCCTTTGAAGAGCCTGTTTTCCACTTAACTGTAGCATTACTTTGTAACAACCAGAACCCGAAATCAAGTACAGGATCTATCAGTTAAGTAGCATTTCCACAGAACATGACCTACTTATTACAAATACAGGTGGAAATGAACAAACATTTATTGACTGTTTTATATATATTGCACAGGCACACTTCTAAGTCCATAATATACATCATTATATCAAATCCTTAAAACAATTTACCATGCTATGGCATAATTATATCCCCATTTTACAGATGGGAAAAGTGACGCTCAGAGAAGGTTTAGCCACAGGGTCAAGGTTCATACCTCATAAGTAATAAAGCAGAGTCAAGCCCATGATTTGTCACCGTTATCATACTCCCTCTTTAAGAGTGTGCTTTGATTTATGTCTGCTCAATGTACCAACTGTTGCCATTTTAATACTATAATTAAAACTGATAATACTGCATACTCCACTTATTAGATAGATATGTATCATTTACTTCTAAAGCTTTTCTGAAATACAAGTTTGGAAAGTTCTGAAACATAAATATATACTTTTAAATACATAAAGACTGTGCAAATTAACTTGAATTGAAAGAATGTATGCATTTTGGAACCAAGTTCACCAGCTATGAATACCACCAAGAGCCCAGCTCATATGGCTCAGTGAATTGAGCATCGTTCCGTGGACAGAGAGATCACTGGTTCGATTCCCAGACAGGGCACAGGCCCAGATTGTAGGCTCGATCCCCAGTAGGGGGCATGCAGAGGCAGCTGATGGATGTTTCTCTTCCACATTGATGTTTCTCTCTCTTTTCCTCTCCCTTCCTCTCCCTCTTTAGTATGTTTTTTGTTTTGTTTTTTCATTCCTCATCTGAGGATACATTTTAAAATTTATCATCAGATAGAGTAGGAGGGAGGGGGAGAGAGAGAGAGAGAGAGAGAGAGAGAGAGAGAGAGAGAGAGAGAGAGAGAGAGAGAGAGATGTAATAAAGCCACGTTACTGGTTGCCTCCCGCACAATCCTGACCAGGGCTGGGGACAAAACACAACTGAAGTACACGCCCTTGACTGGAATCAAATCCGTGGCTCATCGGTCCATGGGCCGACTCTCTAACTGCTGAGCCAAACTGTCCAGGATTCCCTTTAATATGTTTTTTAAAAACATATTTTTAAAAATGTCACTGAGAAAATATACAGAGCTAGAGCCTACCATTTTTTCCCCTGGAGATATGCAAATGAATAAATACAAATAGTGGAATGTTAAGGTAGTCCTGAGTTAAACCTAGAACAGAAAGACATGTAAGACAATGGAATTTGGCATTCAACATGTTTCCTTCTTGAAACAAGAAGTTATGGTTGTATAACATGATAACCAGACATGGTATGTCAGTATAGAACATTCATTAGCCTGCTAAAATTTCTATAAAACCCTAGAACACTATCACATGCCACATATTATTTAAAGTACTTCACAAATATTAGATTATTTTATCTTTATATTAACTCCATGATGAGGGAGTTCTATTATTATCCCCATTTTGTAGATAAGGGTGAATTGCAGAGAACTTACCTGAGGTTATATAGTCAGGAAGTGACGGAGCTGGGATTAAAAACCAGGCAGTCTCACTCTACAGTCTGTATCACTATGCCAAACTGCCTCTTGGAGATATGTCATTGTCTTTATTTACCATCAGGAACACACAAAGAAAATGTACGGTGTAGCAATTATGATGAGGTTACTCTCTGCAGATACCAGAATATCATAGATAACTAAGAAGGAATTGTATGTTTATCAAGAAACGAATAGATGCATTTTTTCAGCCCAAAGTATTGTCCATTAGAACCTGTCCTTTGTCCATGCTTCATATTTGCAGGACTGTAATTACTTATGAAAGAAACTCCCTTCTCTAAAAATATGGAACACTTACTTATGTTTATTTAGGTGGGGTTGGGGGAAAGAGATGCTGGAACTTACATGACATATTATACAGAAATTATTCTGAATACAGAGCCCTGTCCTGACTTGAAAAATTACTTATGCATCTGGGGTATTCCAGGACTATAGTTTGACACAAGGCAGCAGCAGCTTTTTCTTTTAGATTAAATAGGTTTTCAAATGCACAATAATGGTTGAGTAAATTTAAAATATGGTTTAAGCCCAGCCGGTGTGGCTCAGTGGTTGAGCATTAACCCATGTACCAAGAGGTCACTGGTTCAATTCCGTCAGGGCATATGTCCAGGTTGTGGGTCCAGTCCCCAGTGGGAGGTATGCAGGAGGCGGCCAATCAATATTCTCGCTCATTAATGTTTCTGTGTGTGTGTGTGTGTGTGTGTGTGTGTGTGTGTGTGTGTGGAAGACACTGGTTTGTGACTATTTTTTCTTAAATTTTTAAAATTAATTTATTTTTGTTACAGATGTTTCTCCTTCCCGTCCCCCCCCCCAAGACATTCTCCTCCGGATCCCACCTCCCACCCCACAGCATTGTTGTCTATGTCCATTGGTCATGCATATATGCATATATGTCCTTTGGTTTATCTCATCCTCCCCCCACCACCCTCCTCTTCTGAGGTTTGTCAGTCTGAACCATACTGCTTTCTATGTCTCTGGGTCTGTTTTGTTCATCAGCTTATTTTGTTCACTATTTCCACAAATAAGTGAGATAATGTGGTATTTGTCTTTTTGTGATAGGCTTATTTTGCTTAGCATAATACTTTCCAGGTCCCTCCATGTCGTCTCAAAGGATAAGAGATCTTTCTTTCTTACAGCTGCATAGTGTTCCATTGTGTATATGTACCACACACAGCTATTCTATCCACTCATCTATTGATGGACACTTGGGCTGTTTCCAGATTTTACCAATTATAAATAGTGCTGCTATGAACATAGGGGTACGTATACTCTTTCTGATTGGTGTTTCAGGCTTCTTAGAATATGTTCTGAGAAGTGTGATCACTGGGTCAAATGGCAGTTCAATTTTTAATTTTTTGAGGTCACACCATATTGTTTTCCATAGTGGCTGCACCAGTCTGCATTCCCACCAGCAGTGTACTAGACTCCCCTTTTCTCCACACACTCGCCAGCACTTGTTGTTTGTCTTCGATGTTTCTATCTTTCCCCCTCTCCCTTCCTCTCTCTCTAAAAATCAATTAAACAAAATTTAAATATGGTTTAAGCCCCTATTCCAATTCTGCAACTACAGTAATAAAGCCAACTTTGAATTAATTAATGATAGTTACTTTTAAGTTGCTCTGATTTTGTTTCCAAATCTTCTTCTCTGGGAGAAATGTGAAAGAATTATTTCAAACCAGAATGAAAATTAACACTTTTAATAAAAATACAAGCATATTTATTAAATAGAGAGACAATAATATTATAATGTATTTATGTCAGTATTTTTAAGTCATAATATGCAAAAATTGAATGGTTAAATTTAGCTATATGATCTTAACTTCTAATTGAGTATAATTTTTCCATGTATTAACCCATTTTTTTTTTTTTATCACACATTCACTTTATTGCCAAGCACGCGTGAAACTAGGTGTTAGTACTCATAATTTATTTGCAGATTTAGCGTTCATTTTGACACATAAACGTTTAATCAAATTGCAGCTCACTGATTAGCTGGGTCAAAAAGTCTTGAAAAAATCTAAATTTAATTAATAATTATAGCATTTGTTTATCACTTATTACATGCCAGCACTCTTCTAAGCCCTACACATGCATTTTCTTTTTTAATCCTCAAATCATCTTAAAGATAAGTACTACTTATATCCCCATTTTAAAGATAAGTAAGGTTAATATCTTGTCCAAAAAGTAGAGGTGGTTTTCAAATCTGAATCATGTACTGTCAAAAACCGTGTTTCTAACCACTATATGAAAAAAACATTTCTGAAGCATGTTAAAATGCTAAAACAAAACAGAAAACGTCACCAAAATTCCAAACTTTAATCTTCCAGTTTAATCTTTCTTTTTCTTTCTGTTTAATCTTTCTCTTCTGTTTATAAAAGGGTGAGCCCCTATATTGTTAAGAAATGAGTCAGATGTTCCTACAAAGCCCAGGGTATGTTCCATTCAAAGACAAGGTCATTCAAGCTCCTAATTCTCAGGGGGTTTGAAAAGGCTGCCACCCATACAGGCTGTGTGGATCTCTCCTCTCCAGGGAAGGTACATACTTTTTGTCTTTTCCTCCTCAGCAGGAGCCATTACAAGGCACACTCAGGGAAAGTTATGTACTCTAAATTTTATACTTCACTTTCATTTATTTAAAAATCTATTGTAGCCCTGGCCAGTATGGCTCAGCGGTTAGAGCGTCGGCCTGCGGTTCAGAGAGACCCAGGTTTGGTTCCTGCTAAGAGCACGTACCTCGGTTGCAGTTTTTCCCTGGCCCTGGTTGGTTGTGCAGGTAACAACCACTCAATGTGTCCCTTCCACGTTGATGTATCTCTCTCTCTCCGGCTCTATCTGAACAAAAAATGGAAAAATGTCCTTGGGTGAGGATAAAAAAAATTAAATATGTATTGTATATATAATGTTTATATAGTCATACACACACAGACTCTGGACTTATTGGCGATTACCACATAAAAGCAATTTCTCAGTAAATACTGATATCCACCACTTTAAAGACATATGATATAGAGATATGAACTTATTTGTAGAGGTAATTTAGGGAGCTTCACTAATTAGATATACTAATTAATTCTTTGCAAACATATTAAGAGATGAAAAAGGAATATTTACAAAAGGAACGCACCATTTTCTGAAAAGCAAGGTAGGTGTATTCATTCTTTTAACAATGTAAATATGTATATAAAATTATTGAGCGCCTATACTATAGGCTAAGCTCCATATTTGGTGCTAGGGATACAAACATGAATTGCACACAGATCCTGCCCTTACAGATCTTACAGTCTATCAAGAGAAACACAAAAGAGGAAATAACACTAAAGTTCAAAAAAAAAAAATGAAGGGGGCCTTGTTATCACATAGCTTGATTATCTAAGGAAAAGCTTACCTAAAGGAAGCCACTAGAAGCCTAGTGGCCTAGACATAGGAAAATTGACGGAGGAGTAGGACCTAGCACAGGAAAAGGGAGAAGAAAGGAAACAGTGTTCCTGAAAAACAAACAAACAAAAAAACCCAGTATGTGTGAAGTACAAAGGCAAGATAACTAAGAGCACTTGAGAAGAAATGGGGGAACAGGGAGACTGCTTTAGTTGCAAGGGAACAGATGCTATTAACTTGGACTAGGGAAGTGGCAGTCAGTGATAGCCATGAATGGGAATGAAAAAAAGTAGAGTTTTTTTGTTTTTTTTCATTGATTTCTTTATTCTTTATTTTTTTAATTAATTTGTTTTTGTTACAGATGTTTCTCCTTTTTCCCCCACTAATTCCCCACTCCCACTCCCTCCCACCCTGTCCCCAGCTTTGTTGTCCATGTCCATTGCTGCTGCATACATGCATACAAGTTCTGTGGTTTATTCCCCCCCGCCCCCCGCCAAGCCCTCCTCCGGGGATTGTCAGTCTGTACCCCACCTCCACTTCTCTGGGACTACCCCATTCCTCAGACTGTTATGTTCATTATATTCCACAAATAAGTGAGATCATATGATATTTGTCTTTCTCTGCTTGGCTTGTTTCGCTTAGGATAATACTCTCCAGGTCCATCCATGTCATCTCAAAGGATGAGATCTCTCTTTCATACAGCTGCATAGTACTCCATTGTGTATAGGTACAACTGCTTTTTTATCCATTCATCTACTGATGGACATTTGGACTGTTTCCAGATCTTAGCTATTGTAAATAGTGCTGCTACGAACATGGGGTAACATATATTCTTTCTGATTGGTATTTCAGGCTTCTTAGGGTATATTCCTAGAAGTGGGATCACTGGGTCAAATGGAAGATCAATTTTTAATTTTTTGAGGTAACCCCACATTGTTTTGTACAGTAGCTGCACGAGTCTGCATTCCCATCAGCAGTGTACTAGAGTCCCCTTTTCTCCTCAGCCTCACCAACACTTGTTTGATGATTTGTTGATGGCGGCCAGTCTGACAGGTGTGAGGTGATACCTCATTGTTATTTTAAATTGCATCTCTCTGATGATTAGTGATATTGAGCATTTCTTCATATGTCTCTTAGCCATTTGTATGTCCTGTTTGGAGAGGTGTCTATTTAGTTACTCTGCCCATTTTTTAATTGGGTTCTTTGTCTTCTTTTTGTAGAGTTGTATGAGCACTCCATATATATTGAAAATTAACCCGTTATCTGATATATCATTGGCAATCATGCTCTCCCGTACAGTGGGTTGGCTTCCCATTTTGATGATTGAATCTTTTCTGTGCACATGATTTTGAGTTTGATGTAGTCCCATGTGTTCATTTTTTCCTTTGTTTCTGTTGCCTTAGTGATGTATCAGTAAAAATTTTGCTGCATATGATGTCTGAAATTTTATTGCCTACATTTTCTTCTAGGATTTTTATGGATTCATGAGTCACATTTAAGTCTTTTATCCATTTTGAGTTAAGTCTTGAGAATGGTGTAAGTTGATGGTCTAGTTTCATTTTTTTGCATGTAGCTGTCCAATTTTCCCAACACCATTTATTAAAGAGGCTGTCTTTACTCCACTGTATGCCCTTGCCACCTTTGTCAAATATTAATTAAGCATATTGCCTTGGGTCCATTTCAGGATTCTCTGTTCTGTTCTGTTGATCTATATGTCTGTTCTTGTGCCAGTACCAGGCTGTTTTGATTACAGTGGCTTTGTAGTATAACCTGAAATCTAGTAATGTGATCCCTCCTACTTTGTTCTTCTTTTTCAAGATTGCTGTGGCTATTCAAGGTTTTTTTGGTTCCATATGAACTTTTGAAGTATTTGTTCTAGTTCTGTGAAGCATGTCGTTGGTATTTTGATGAGGATTGCATTGAATCTATAGATTGCTTTGGGTAATATGGACATTTTAATGATGTTGGTTCTTCCAATCCATGAACCAGGTATATGCTTCCACTTTTTTATCTTCCTCTGTTTCTTTTTTGAATGACCTGTAGTTTTCTGCGAATAGGTCCTTTATTTCTTTGGTTAAGTTTATTCCTAGGTATCTAAATTTTTTTGCTGTGATCATAAATGGGATTGTTTTTTCAGTTTCTCTTTCTGTGAGTTCATCATTGGTGTATAGGATTGCCATCGATTTCTTGACATTAATTTTGTATCCTGCTACTTGGCCAAGTTCATTTATTAAGTCTAGTAAATTCTTGATGGAGTCTTTGGGGTTTTCTACATATAATATCATGTCATCTGCAAATAATGACAGTTTCACTACCTCCTTTCCCATTTGGATCCCTTTTATTTTTTCCTCTTGTCTGATTGCTGTCGCTAAGACTTCCAGTACTATGTAAATAAGAGTAGCGAAAGTAGGCATTTTTGCCTTGTTCCTGTTCTTAAGGGAAATGCTTTTAATTTTTGCCCATTGAGTATGATGTTGGCTGTAGGTCTTTCATATATGGCCTTTATTATGTTGAGATATGATCCGTCTATTCCCAGATTGCTGAGCATTTTTATCAGAAATGGGTGCTGGATTTTGTTGAATGCTTTTTCAGTGTCTATTGTTATGATAATATGATTTTTATCTTTCATTTTGTTTATGTAGTGTATCACATTTATTGATATGCGAATACTGTACCAGCCTTGCATCCCTGGGATGAATCCCACTTGGTCATGGTGAATACTTTTTTTGATGTATTGCTGGATTCAATTTGCTAGAATTTTGTTCAGGATTTTGGCATCAAGGATATTGGCCTGTAGTTTTCTTTCTTTGTAGTGTCTTTTTCTGGTTTTGGAATTAGCATTATGCTGGCCTCATAAAACAAATTTGGAAGTCTTCCTTCTTGAATTTTTTGAAATAGTTTGAGGAGAATGGGTATTAGTTCTTCTTTGAATGTTCGTTAAAATTCCCCCGTGAAGCCGTCCGGGCCTGGGCTTTTGTTTGCTGGGAGAGTCTTGATCACATCTTCAATTTCTTCTGTTGTTATTGGTCTGTTCAAGTTTTCTATCTCTTTCCAGTTCAGTTTTGGGAGACTATGTGTTTCTAGAAATTGGTCCATTTTACTTAGATTGTCAAATTTGTTCCCTTTTGATTGTATATAATATTTGTTAACAATCCGTTGTATTTCTGTGGTGTCAGTTATTATTTCTTTCCTTTCCTTTCTTATTTTGTGTATTTGGTTCTCTCTCTTTGTTTCTTGATGAGTCTAGCTAAGGGTCCATCAATCTTGTTTATCT